GAGAGAGAGAGAGAGAAGAGAGAAGAGAGAAGAGAGAAGAGAGAAGAGAGAAGGAAGGAGGAAGAGGAGGAGGAGGAGGAGGAGGAGGAGGAGGAGGAGGAGGGAAGGGAGTTGTCCAGGAAACAGGTATTGTCTTTTCCAAATGTAAGAAATAACCCTGTGGCATTCGGTCATGGTCATGAGGAGGCAGGAAGTGTAGCTGTGGAGGCAAGTGAAAGCTGGTATTGATATTTAAAGTTGAAGACTGCAAAGTGCATGGAAGTGACTTCCTGCTATTATGCAAGATGGCAACAGACTGCTGACCCTAGGGGCTTTACAACCATAAATTCATCACTATTGGTAACTATTTCAGTGTTTTCTTCTCCACCCTCCAGGCCTAAAAAAACTAGCAGAACTTCCATGCACTGTACAGAAACTATGGCAATTTGTATGGGGACTCAGGCAGATATGTCATAAATAAGTCAAATTTACTATTTGCCAAATGCAAAGTAATCAGGTCTCCAGTAGAAAAGATGTCCTTCTTGTGTGGCCTTCCCAGTTACATGGGAATTTTTTTAATATTTAATTTTTAGTTTTAGGTGGACACAATGTCTTTATTTTACATTTATGTGGTTCTGAGGATCAAACCCAGTGGCTCATGCATACTAGGTGAGCACTCTATCACTGACCCAAAACCCCAACCCCAGGAATCTTTTTTTTTTAACATGGAAATTTTTAGGCATAATCCCACACATAACTGAGAAAAAGAAGATGTAGCTGCTATGGGTTAATGCCTCAGCAACCCTTAGCAGCTCCATCTGGGACATTTCTGAATCAGAGCTCCAGAAGCATCTGACTGAGCAATGGATGGCTACTATATGATTAGGATTAGGGGGCTGGAGATATAGCTCAGTTGGTAGAGTGCTTGACTCACATACGCAAGGCCCTGGTTTAAATCCCCAGCATCACACACACACACACACACATACAAAAAAAAACAGGTTAAGATTAGCAAGAAGCAAGAGATCATTCTATATACATCCTGTATTTTATTGGGGCTAAAGCTGTACCTTTTACAAGCAGATACAAAGAGGTTGGGCATCTTAGAAACTGGGATAAAGAAAATACCTCAGTTAACACATCTTAGTCAGATTTTCAAGTCTACAACTTACTATGTAGGTAATCTTGAATGATTTCCTTAACTTTTCTGAGTCTCCAACCAAGTAATTCTTTGATGTAGATATTACATATTATGCCCATTGCAGATTAGAAAAGGAAATCTCTTATACTCATTGTAGATTAGAAAAGGAAACCTCAGAGAGGTTAAGCAATTAGCCCATAGTCACATAGTAAGTAGCAAAGGGATAAATCAAGCAGAGATCTGTCTGTCAGACTTATCTGCCCATGCACAGAACAATTTCACCCTATTACCTCAGTGATCTTGGAACCTGCAACCCAGACTCCACTTCTGGGTACATATCGAGGGACAACTCCAAACATAGCTCCAGATAAAGCTCCATGTACATTACTAGTCCCAATTCTAGGCAGAGTTCTGGAAACATGACTTCTCTGTGGAAGAAAGAGAAAAACTTGAGGGTTGGTATGCTGGAACATAAACAGTGTACTGTAACTTCTAAAACTTCTAAAACTTCATAACTTTGTGTATGTGTGAAGAGAAGTAAATATCATATATTAGCCAATATCATGTGCTGGGCTATAGGTAAGCATGTCACATTTAGTCATTCAATACTCACAACAGTTCTGTAGAGTAGAATTAGTTGAGAAGCAGAGGTAAATTCCTCCCTCCTTTTGCAGGGAATGGGCAGAGTAGGAGTAGGGAATGGAAAAATAATAGGCCCATTAGGCACTAATTCCCAAGTCCACCATTACCTGCAGAGATCTGCCTCTCTGGGATTCCAAAGAGGGGTGCATTTTGCCTGTTGATCTTTCAATCTCAGGATCCAACATAAAGATGCTATCATGGGATAGGGCTTTGTTCCCCATGTTGCTCTTGATCCTGAACAGAAAGGAAAGGTCTTGTAAAGCAGGCAATGGGCCACAGGAACAGAAGACAAATGTATACTCACAATATGCCTACCATAGATACCTCAGAAAGAGTGTTGAGGATGCATACATGGTGACACAGAAAGCTCTTTTTAAGGTATTAAGTGAAAAAAATAAAGAATATCATTCTTTATGTATTTAATAAAATACACATATATTGCATACATATATAGTTTATGTTCAAAGAAAAAAGTCTGGGAGGACATTTCCTCTGAGGAATGATACTAGGGACAGGAGGGGAATTGTCATTTTCTATTTTATGTACTTTTATATAATTTTAATTTTAAAAATTATAAACATGTCATATATATGATACTTTTATTGAGGTATGTATTACATATCACACAATTCACCCATCTAAAATACACAATATAATAGTGACAATTATAGGGACTGAAAAGGTTATTAAAGATCTCTCACACCCAATTGCTCTCTAGTGTTTTTGTTTTAATTTTTTTTCAGTAGCAAAAATCTTCCCAGATGTAAGAGGCTTTCATTTATCATTTTTTCCTCTTTCACACAAGGGTTCTGTGACACATCTGTCCTATTTTCAAACTCATGTACCATCCATTCCTTCCCTTTCCAGTTTGCTTCCCCCAATTGGAAATACATTCTGATTAGGAATGGAGCCAGGTCAACCACAATTATGTGTTAGGAGAAATCAAGGAAAATCTAGAAACAAATGAAATCTAAATGCCTAAAAGACTCCTTTTGGGTTGTGATAATAATTTATTTTACCTTTAAAATTCATCCAAAGGCATCACAAAAAGAGAAAACTATAGACCAAAATATCTAATAAATAGATATCTAAAAATACTCAATAAAATTTCAGCAAATTGAATCCAGTAACATGTAAAAATAGTTACATGCCATGACAAAGTAGGATTTGTGAGGAATGCAAAGTTAGTTTGACCTGAAATATAATGCATGTGATACACTACATCAATAGAATAAAAACAAGAACCACATGATTGTTTTAATAGATGTAGAAAAAACATTGTAAAATCTGACACCCTTTTCTGATAAGTGCATGCCAACTTGATAGAAGACATTTATGACAAAACCACAGCAAATATCATACTTGGTAGTGAAAGACTAGATGCTTTTTCCCTAAGATCAAGAACAGCACAAGGGTAACTGCCTTTGCTACATCAACAGTGTATTGGAATTCATGGCCAGGGATATTAAATAAGAAAATGAAATTTAAAAAAAAACACTCAGAATATAAAGGAAGAGTGAAATTATCTCTATTCATAGATGATGCAATTTTGTAAATAAAAACTCTTAAGGAATTCACTAAAAACTACTAGAACTAATAAATTAATTTAGCAAGGGTGCAGGATATAAAATCAGTATACAAAGTTGTATTCTATGTATTGGCAATGAACAATCTGAAAATAAAATTAAGAAAATATTTCCACTTATATCAGCATCATAAAGAATAAAACACTTAGGAATAAATTTAACAAAAGACATGCAAAATGTACCCTGAAAACTATAAAGCATTATTGAAATAACTTAAAGAAAGCCTAAATAAATGGAAGGACATCCCATGTTCATGGATTGGAAGGTTTAATCTTGTCAATATAGCAATACTCCACAAATTGATTGACAAACTCAATGAAATCCCTTTTGGAATTCCAGGTGAAAGGTAGTATAGCACTGGCATAAAGATAGACATATAGATCAATGGAATAGAGAGTCCAGACATAAACCCATAATCTATATTTATTTGGTTTGCAACAAGGATTCCAAGATCATTCAATGGGAAAAGAATAGTCTTTTCAACAAATTGTTCTGGTGCAACCTGATATCCACATGCAAAAAAAAAAAAAAAATGAAGTTGCACTCTATCTCATACTATATATAAGAATTAATTCAGGCTGGGAATGTTTCTGAGTGGTAGAGCACTTGCCTAGTATGCATGAGGCCCTGGGTTCAATCCCCAGCAACACACACACACACACACACACACACTTCAAAATGGGCCAATGATCTAAATATAATAGCTAGAACTATAAAACTCTTAGAGGAAAACCTAACAGTAAATCTTCATGATCTTGGGGGCTGGAGATGTGGCTCAGCGGTAGCGCGCTCGCCTGGCATGCGTGCGGCCCGGGTTCGATCCTCAGCACCACATACCAACAGAGATGTTGTGTCCGCCGAAAACTAGAAAATAAATATTAAAAATTCTCTCTCTCTCTCTCTCCCCTCTCTCACTCTCTCTTTAAAAAAAAAATCTTCATGATCTTGAATTTCACAATGCATTCTTAGACATGACACCAAAGCTCAAGGAACAACAACAAAAAATAGATAACTATATTTCATCAAAATTAAAAACAGTGTTGGGGTTGTGACTCAGTGGCAGAATGCATGCCTTGCACATGTGAGGCACGGGGGTTCGATCCTCAGCACCACATACAAAATAAATAACAATAAAGATATTTTAAAAAATTAAAAAAACATTTGTGTTTCAAACATTACTAGCAAAGAGCTACTTTGGATGGATAGTAGAATGAATCAGATATTATTACCCTATGTGCATATATGACTACACAGTTGGTATGATTCTACATCATGTACAACCAGAAGAATGAGAAGTTGTACTCCATTTATGTATGATGTGTCAAAGTATATTCTAGTGTCATGTATAAATACTTAGAACAAATTAAAAATGAAAATAAAAAGACAACCTACATAATGGGAAATATAATTGCAAACTATATATCTGATAAGGGATTTGCATCCAGAATATATAACAAACTCTTACTATTAAGAACTCTTACCAACAAGGACATTTATTATTGAATTCTTAAGTAATTCAATAATAAAAATATAAATAACCAATTAAAATGAAAAATATCTAAATAGGCATTTTTCAAAAAAAAACACAAATTGGCTAACACACATGAAAAGATCCTCAACCACATTAATAAGCAAGGAAATTCAAATCAAAACCATAATGAGATACTATTTTAAAATGTCTAGAATAGATAAACTCAAAGCTTCAGATAATTATTATTGGCAGTGTCATGGAGAATTTTGAACCCCCATATATTGCTAATGAGAGTATAAAATGGTACAGCTACTTTGGAAAACAGTCTGGTGGTCTCTCAAAAAGTTAAGCATATAACTATCATTTGTCCCAGGAGTTCCACTCATAGTATATACCCAAGAGAAATAAAAACATATATCTACCCCAAAACTTGAATATAAATATTTATAACAACATTATTCATAATAGCCAAAGGGTGGAAACAACCCAAATATCCATCAACTGATAAATAGATAAAATATGATATATTCATGGAATGGTATACTATTTGGTAGGAAAAGGAATGAGGTTCAGAGGTATGCCAAAACATGGATGAATCTTGAAAACATTAAAAGAGTGAAAGAAGCCAGTCAAAATAGGTCAGGTATTGTATCATACCCTTTATGAGAAATGTGCACAATAGGCAAATCCATTGAAACAGAAAGCAGACTAGTAGTTGGTAAGAGGAGAATTATTGCTAGTGGGTACAGGGTTTCTTTGGGGAGTGATAAAATGTTCTAAACTTGGGGAATCATAATGGCTACACACGTAAAAGGTAGGATTTATAGCATGTGAATTCTATTCCAATAAAATACAAAATTATGAAGCTATTCCTATTAGGTGAGGAAGATGCATATATGCATAGCAAAGATGACATTAAGCATGAAAGGAAGGCAGGGGGGCTGGGGATGTGGCTCAAGCGGTAGCGCGCTCGCCTGGCATTCGTGAGGCCCGGGTTCGATCCTCAGCACCACATACAAACAAAGATGTTGTGTCCACCGAGAACTAAAAAATAAATATTAAAAAATTCTCTCTTGGGCTGGGATTGTGGCTCAGAGGTAGAGTGCTCACCTACCATGCGTGAGGCACTGGGTTCGATCCTCAGCACCACATAAAATAAAGATTATTTAAAAAAAAAAAATTCTCTCTCTCTCTCTCTCTCTCTCTCTCTCTCTCTCTCTCTCTCTCTCTCTCTCTGTCTCTCCCTCCCTCCCTCCTCTCTCTCTCAAAAAAAAAATGAAGGAAGGCAAGGCAGCGAGGGAAGGGGCAAGAGAGGATGGAAGGAAAGAGGAAGGGGGAGGAAAAAGAAAGCGAGCAAGCTACATGCTACAACATGGACGACCCTTGAAAAGATGCCAAGTGAAATAAAGATGATCTTTGTATTATTCCACTTATATTAAATGTTGAGAATTAGTGAATTTACAGAGGAAGAAAGTAGATCCCTGGTTCCTTAGGGATGGGGATAGAGGGGAATGGGGACTGATGGTTAATGGTATAAGGTTTCTTCAGGGAAGGATGGAAATGATTTAAAATTAGATAAAATAAATTTGTTTAAACTTGAGTACTTTTATGCTTATTACCTTCATTACAAAACAATAATTGTAGGTTGGCACTTTTAAAAATCTGTCTACAAATAGTAACTAGAGAAACAATTTGGATATTATAGGGCTGGCATTAGCCCTGTCCCTGTAATCCTATCTGGTTGTGGGGCCTGCACACAGGTGTGGTTAATCCCTACAAAACTCAGCTATCCAAATTGCCCTGATAATAAAGGAAACACACTCTGCTTTACTAAAACAGCAGTCCAGAAAAAAAGTAAGGCGACTCTCTGGATTAACACTTAATGGGCATATGTAACTGATCTAGCACTGACAGAAGATTGTTTTCACAAGTGTATATACCCACATAGACTCATTATGCATACATATCATTCATTCAGTGCTGCTCTATGGCCTGCTGGCTCCAATCAGGCTGAGAACCAGTATAACATCTGTAACTACCTTGCCTTCTGTGTTTTGTGCAGAAAAACCCAAAGGAAATCTCAGGCTACAAGTGGGCTTAGAAAACTCTCTCATTTCCATGCTGTGCATCAGCCAGAGTGAAGCTGTGGAACTGGTCCTATAGTGCCAAACTCTTCCTGATCAAGAGATGACATTAGTATCAGCTGTGGTCAAGTGTGTCAGAAACCAAAATTCTGGGCTGGGGTCATAGCTCAGTGGTAAAATCCTTGCCTAGCATAATGAGGCACTGGGTTTGATCCTCAGCACCACATAAAAATTTTAAAAAAGTATTGTGTCCATCCACAACTAAAAAAATACTAAAAAAAGAAACCAAAATCCTTCCCCCAACATATCTGGTATTCATTGATCTGCTCTCTGGAGAAGGAGGAAGAGGAGGAGGAGGAGGAAGTGGAGGAGGAGGAGGAGGAAGTGGAGGAAGTGGAGGAGGAGGAGGAGGAAGTGGAGGAGGAGGAGGAAGTGGAGGAGGAGGAGGAAG